AGTAGTGTTGAGATCAAGTAGATGATAGTTGAATAAGGAAGATAAGTGGGTCGATAGCAATGTGCAGTGTTACAAGTTATGGGGATTGGGAGAGTTCTTGTGTGAATCAAAATAAAGCAGTATTTAGTGAAGTCAGTAATAACTGACATGAACCATGTAGGATGGGATGGTTGCTTGACGGGGGTTTTCGAAGTGATAAGAATTACCAGCTGTAGTCTGAGGGTGATACACTTCAACAACACATCTGTCTTTTGTTTGATTGTGTTCCCTTTTGAGAAGTAGCAATTTCAACTGGAGCCTCTTCATGAAGAATTCTATATTGGTCTATTGTCACCTTTACTACATTGAGTACGTAAGGTGGCGTCAACTTGTTTCAATTTAGTAATTTAGTAGAAAACTTTGTAGCAAGTAATACCTTCATAAGTGTAACATTTTCTTTCAAGGAAATCACATATCGAATGTCAACCGTCCTAACTATGACCGAAATTCCATCTACTGAACAACAAGTCATGATGTGTGCTTTCAATGAGTATTTCAGCTGAAGATCAAGTAATGAACTGTCTATAAAAAGGGAGATCACAGTCTCTTTATCTGGTTGTGCCAGGTGTATTCATGAGATATCAGTGAATAATTTACAGTGTCATGTGCTGATTATTGAAATCAGCTGATTGGAATCGTGATTTAGTCTCAATACTGAGTGATATGATACTATCGCTGACGCAGCCGAAGTGTTTTACAAGCTGGTAAATATAACTTCGCTATGATGAGCCCGAAACTGAAATTCATATGCTCCCGTTAACCAATATCAAACGTTTACAATAATTTGAAGTCAACTGGTGGATGGTGACTAGCAGTGGAATCCAGGATGCTCATTTCGTACTATTTGGGACTCGTCATGTGGGTGTACCTGCATTCTCCAGTGAGTGATGGTGTTCCCACCGAGACTTGACCTGAGATCGAGAACTTCAGTCCAATCGGTCGACGGGAAAATCAAAAGTTGAATCGAATTGTTTTCAATAGTTCATGAGTAATCCCTTGTTGATTAGTAGTCAAGATTGATGGAATTGTACAGCAGTTGAGTTACAGCATATCATCATAATACTATAGAGTTTTGTCCTTCAATTTTTCACTGACGGATCTGTTGAAATGGTGAAATCAGTCAAACATTTCACATCTGAACCACACCACATACCGTATATATTAAATGTATTAGTCATGACATCAGGATGAAAATCTCGCTTTGTTCACTTTCTCCATAATGGTTTATGTTGCCCGCATATATATCTAGATGGTGAAGTTTTTTCTCCTCCAAAACAAACAAACAAAGAAACATTGAAATGACTATCGAGAGGTACAGTCAGATGATCTGACTTACCGTCTACCATATTTTTTTAATATATCAAGTGTAGTTTCTCAGTGTGCTTTTTCTTTGTTTTGACTTCACTGTTAACAGCTAGAACAAAAGAAGCACATTTTGAATAGCTAAAATTGAAATACACACCTGGAAGTACTTTTAAGCACTTATGTGTTAGCTTAGAAGGGTGAGTGAGTGAGAGAGACAGAGAAAGATACAGAATTCTGTTAATTTGAAGTGTATCTCTTCGCCTTATTGATCTGGGGATGCATCATGTTGTGTGTTTGTGGAACAGTAAAGAAAAGTAAATCAGACATCTCAACTATGACTCATTTTTCAAAGGGAGAATGATCAGACTTTCTTTTATATCATCTACAAGATTTTTAACTGAAATCGTCCATAGTTAATATGGAAAACACACGACAGGAGCTCACTTGTTGATATATACCATAATTATGATAGACGATGCCCAGTAATGGGTTCGTTAGGCAGGATGATATGAATCCCCGTGCTACACAGTCTTGGTTGTCACTATGATGACTTTCTATTTTCTCTAGTTTCTCTTATTTAGTCTAAGGTGATTAGTCAACACCGTTTCGTGGAACTGAATAGCTGCCGACTGTGCATACAATACTACAGGTAAGATGGAAATTGGATAGCATGTGAATCTAACTCTATAACCTTGATCTATTTATTTGAAGATTAAATGAATAATTGATTGACGGCGGTATTTGAGTCACAGGCCTTTGGAATTACTACTGCAACACTGTATCGGCTGAATTGCGAGACCTACCGTATCTTTCTGCAGTCACTCTGAGCTGACTCCATGATTGTTCGTAAACTCTCAGCTTTCCAGCATATCATATCACTCTCGGACCTGCACCCAACTCATCGTTGGCTATTCAAGTTTCATTTGAACGTCTGCTTCATGATGTCGTCTGCTCCAGTGATCTCGTCAACCTATGTCCAATCAATTTCCATTTCCTTCGGTGTATTTGTAGGGTGATAGGTTCTTGGTTAGTTTGTTGGCATTTTTCCTTGTGGTTTATCCTTTCTGGCCATCTTATCTCCAGTATGTAGAGAAAGCGGTTGTTGATGGAAGTCTGCAGTTAATAATAATAATGATTTACTTTATTCCAAAAACAGTACTTGTGATACAGAGTGGAATTTTCAGCATTAATCACAGTATTGCATCTAATTTCCTCAAATTATAAATAAAAATTAGTCACACAGAAAATTTTCCACATATACAATAAGGGTAATGTCAAAAACATGCAGCATATAAAGTGGAAATAATAATAATAATGATAACAGCTAAGGTAATAATAATAATACAAGTGAAAATTGCCGTGGGCTTGTCTCACACAGTATTGTCGATGCGGTATACAAATCCTAGCATGTTTTAAAAATATTGAATATGATGTTCTCTTTACATCATATGGTGAGGGGAAAAACAAAGATTACAACAGTCATAGAGATAAGTTGGTGCTTGCAGTTATGAAAGTGAAATAAAGAAGCAACAGGACCATAAATATAATCGAAATAATAAAAGTAAAACTTGAAGGTATATAAGGATGGATGGAGGAAATTGTTTATTTACTGGATGAAAAAAGGTTAGTAAATTCTTGACAGACATTATTTTCATCACATAAAATAAATACCAAGTACGGTATCAGAGAATTATTATACTTAGACGTGCGAGTATACAATTTTCTGAAGTTACTTCTTGTTCTACCTGAGGAGATGCATGGTGAAAGCTGAGGGTAAAGTGGATGCTCCATGTCAGACAAAATCCCTCTAGCAAATTTATTGCACGAGGTCAAGTGCCTATCAACAACGACGTTGACTATGTGGTCCACTGGGACACCACTCACCCTACTGGCTGTCTTCAGCATTCTACGAATTGTGACATAGTCCTTTGTAAGCAAACCAGGAAAGAATAAGGGTGAAGAATAAAGAAGAATAGTTAGGATGCAAGAGTTTATGAACTGTAAGAGGAGGGGTTGAGTTATACCCGAGTGCATTAACTTCCTAATGTAGAATGTTAGGCGGAATATTTTACTGGAGATCTCTAATACATAAGAAGACCAGGAGAGATCAGAAGAGAGAATAAGTCCAAGATACCTAATTTCTGATTTAATTCTTATATCATTGTCATCAATCTTACAACTGTCATGAGAATCGACGGCTTCTTTTAACTGTCTTTTACATCTTAAGCTGAAACTCACAGTTTGACATTTAGAAGGATTCAGTCTAAGACCATTAGACTCAAACCATTTACTGACTCCCGACAGAAAGCTATTTATTTTGGTACAATCTAGCTGGGAGTTAACAGCCATTGAAACTGTTAAATCATCAGCGTACTTCACAAAGTTTATTTCATCAGAGTGAGGCAAGTCATGTAAGAAGAAAGAAAAAAGAAAAGGAGAAAGAACAGCTCCTTGAGCGACACCAGCTTCAGTAGGCAATGAAGTGGAATATTCCCCTTTATACATGGTGTACTGCTTTCTTTCTGAGAAATAGGAATGTAACCAGTTAACAGCCCAACATTCTGTTTGACTTGCAGCAAGTTTATTTAATAAGATGTCCCTAGGGACCGAGTCAAAAGCAGATGTATAGTCTAGGAAGGCACAACGAACAAATTTAGCCTCTTTGTCTAGACTGGAAGCAATGTTATGATATAAGATGGCAGCTGCATCTAAAGTGCTTCTACTGTGCTAATAGGCAAATTGTTTAGGGTGATTAAAGGATTTAAGCAAAGGTACAAGACTAAGTAAAAGTAATTTCTCCATAGTTTTCAAAAAAGGATAGGTAATACCAATGGGTCTAGATTTGATGATATAGGTATAGGAAATTGTCTTTATGACACTCCGAGTCAGTTTATGGAGCATTCGATAGATGATAGAAAAAGACTCTTACCTGATTACTTTGTGGCCAGTTTAGGTGAAATGATTTGATATAGGAGTATTCTAATTTAGAATTCGCAAAAGTCTCCAAATAGCGAACACTTCAAACAGCAGAGGCAATCCCGGATCGCCTAAAACATCCAGAGGTCTGTGTGCGAACAAAACAGCTCCAACCAGTATTGCTACACTGGTCTTCTGTGGGACCCATAAATTCATTCATTCTCTATCATTTCTCTAAATTCATCTGATATACAGCTCAGTATTACATTTGCTATGTATATTATCACTCAGATTTTGTCGAACTGTAACCTATCGGTATTATGGATTGAATGTTATTTAAAACTTTAATGTAATTAATAACAATAATTGTTCATTTATTATGGACATATAACTGCAGAACTTGATGAAAAAGTTGTCGAAAAGAATACTCCTGTTCACCAATAAGTCTTTTAAAATGTTTAGTTGACATCATTAGTCAATTAACATATTCAAAAGATAAGACTTCTGAGTTTCAATGCATCAGCCACTAGAACAGAAATCAATATCAATTTCTTCTAGTCTATTAAGTGCAAGTCTTTTTCTAGATGAATCCTATTGATGTCTGAACACACACATGGTTAAGGCTTCCTACACCTTGCTTGTAATTATGCAGTGATAAATTTTTACCTAATGATATATTGATTCAATAAAATTTGAATTTTCTTTTTAAGATGAATCGACTGAGTAGTAATCACATTTCAGATTATAAATCAGGAAAGCATTAGTTTGATAATACAAAAATTATTGATGTGAGTGAGTCAGTAATTTTGCATTCTCTGTCGATTTGAATCACAATTTGTTGTTTACGTTCACATATTATTGATCAGCCCATATGAAAAGGGGGTTATTAACGACTTGTTATGACGTAATCCTTTCCACCTTATTGGTGAAGCAAAAACATAAGTAATTGTGATGACAACTCACTATTTCATACTTCCTACTGCATTAATAAGTCAACACTTGGTTGAGTTTAAAGACTAATTCTAATAACTGTGTCAGTGTCAGTCGGGAGAAAATTAAATAATAATAATGGAAAGGCGTCCGAAGAATATGTCTGGTCAAGACGAAAGTGAATTGAGAGAAAAGCAATCACTAGACGACTTCTTATTAATTTCTAGTACACCACAATCAAATAGAAACCAAGCGAATAGGAAATACTTCAACGAAAGCTACACAACGATAAATATCACGAATGAATCAAGCATAGACAGAAATTTTTCTGAATCACGAAGTAATGAATCAAATTCGAATGTGGATAAACTACATAATATTGATCAGTTATTTAATCGAATTATCTCTGCAAAACATCGTAAGAATGCTATCCTAGAAATATGCAAATGTATTAATAATGATAATAATAATGTCTTGAATGTGGGGTATTTTATTTTCAAACGTCCAAGTGTGGCGGCTGCACTTCTTCATGAAATTTGGGAACACTATCAATATGACAAAAGTGTCCCACTTTCGCCAACATCATTCGAGGTGAGTGAATAAAAATCAATTGATTTATATATGCACATATATATATATATAATTGATTTCTAAGTGTTAATATTTAAGATTAAAAGTCATCACCATCTTCTTAGTTTAATTCACTTCTAAGTGTCATTCTTATCCAACCGATGGCTTAAATTACAAAGTGTGGATATTACTTGGGAGTGGATGGGGGCGGGTTGACTAGTTAAATTGTAGTAGCCGCTAACAAGAAGCGGTCCGACGACCCTCTAAATGCCCTTCAAACTACCAGTCACATCACTAATCATGAGTGGTGCTTGTGTACTGTATTCACAGCATACCCTTGATCTGGATTTATGTTATTGTGTGAATAGTGTGTGGATTGTTGATTGTGCTTAACTGGTGAATATCCGAAGTGGTTAAGCTCTCTGTTCATCATGAAATACAGTTTATTGACACGTTTACCAGTTCTAATGTTCCCAACAGTGTTATGATTAGTCATTCAAGGTCATCCAGTGGGTTCCTTGATGGTAGCTGGTACAGTTTAACTGCTCTCTTATTTCATCCACTTACCACAGGTGTTTGGAATTCATTCGGATGACCAGCTAATTTTATATCATAATTTCCTAAAATGAGTCGACGTAAATGATCAATCCACAGAATGCAACGACACAGACTTAAGTGATACATGTCACTATCACTTAACATGGTTACCACTAAGTATTTCTTCTATTTGAAACCATATTTTTCAAAATAAATTGTTTATCATAGGGATTTGCCGAGAATTTTTCTGCTTTACAACGATTTTCGTCATGCCCAGATGTGTTCTAGAAAATCATTGAGAATGATTATGAGAACTGAACACTAGGTTGACTTTTAAGACAGTTAATGGAAAGGGGTGTTAGTACAGTCCTTTGAAGTGAAGAGAGGAGTAAGAAAGGCTACTATCGACTATCATCGACGCCCCTCCTCATTGTGGTTTACTGTGTAATTCGACAGACTATTGAGAGTGAGAAGACGGGCACACGGTGGACAGAGAAATAAATCAGTCCGTGATCAACTCGTAAAACATAACTAATCCTTACAAACCAAACAATAGAAAATAAATCCTAGAAATTTCAGATTTTAACGCTGACTGATGCCTCATATCGCACAAACTCGAATATATACAAGCGGAAACCGACAAGTTGGTAGAATAGTCAGCAAAGACAGGATTTCAAGCGAACATAGAGAAAACAGAAAGATTGATCGAAGAAATATTTACTTTTCAATTAGATTTTCATCTCTGGGTCTACTCTTATATATATATATATATATATATATATATATATATATATATATATATATAGCATTTTTATTGCAATACACAACAGTTTACCATACAAGTGGCGATATGTTTGTTAACAATAATTAAAGTGTCAAAATGTCAATGGGTTGATAATAAACGAAGAAAATCAATTCACATTTAAAAGGTAGAAATGGTTAGAATAAATCCATTTTACAAGGATAACACGTAATCAAAGATGAAGTGGTCAAAATAAATAAAAATAAAATATTTTGGACAATTATAATTTTTATAGTTTTTTAAGGTTTAGGGGGACGGGGAGGGGGGCGACGTAGTCCTGTTTATGCATTCTTGTAACGATGGCCACGGTAAGGAAAGTGGTTGTACAAATTTCTTCTGAACACATAGGCTTGGCTTCTTCAGGTGGATTCCGATTGCTTCAGCTGTCTGTAGAAGACAAACTCGTAGGGCAAAATTAAGATTAGTCGGAATGCGATTATTAATTTTAAATGCATTATTAACATCAACCTTATGCTCAGTATCAACAGGGTGCTTGTCCTTTGCTTAACCATGTTGGATGATGTTCGGAAATACGACGATGAACCTGCCTAATTGTACGCCCTATGTAGCTGGCTCCGCAGCTGCAGCGAAACTGGTAGTTACACACAGAAGAGGCAAAATTAGGTAGTTTATTCTTATTTCTCGAACATAGAATAGGGGTGGTTTTGAAGAGAAAACGTACCTCTGCTGCATAATAAGCTCATTTAACTGCATTCTTCAAGCGCTGTGTCACTATTTTACTGATGTTGTCACCGAGGAACTGCAATTTTATGAACATTGGTTTCTTCGGAACTGTAGCCATACTGACTCTCCTTGGTGCTGAATTCATATTCTTCTCAATAAATTTATCTGGATAACCATTTTTTCTAAGTAATTCTCTAATAATCTTAAGCTCCTCATTGAGGCAGTCGTCTGAACAGATTAACTTAGCTCTATGAACCAGACACTTAACCAGGTTACATTTATATTTCAAAGGTGAAAACTCAAAAAATGAGTGTACTGACCTGTTGTTGTAGGTTTCCTCTTCTTTCCTTGCCATGAAGACGCCTAGGAACGAGATACTGTCATTACTTTCTTTCTCTATGGTAAAGTTTATTGCTGAATGTCCATCATTAAAGTTGTCAAGGATGTTCATTGCATCATTCTCGTCTTTCATAACCACAAATGTATCATCCATATATCGACAATAGAAATCCATGTCATTAATTACTCCTTTCAGTGGTACATTCTCTAACTTAGCGAGGAAAATATCAGCTAGGATTGGACCTAATGGGGAACCCATAGCTACACCATCAATTTGTCTGTAATATTCCTTATTGAATAAGAAATGAACATTCATTGCACATCTTAAAATAAGTTCCTTCAAGGTGGATATAGAAATCCCGATGTCTATATTTCATGTAGTAATCTCCTCGCATAAAAAATCCACTGTCTGCATTAACTGTACATTGGTGAACAAGGAGGATACATCAAAAGATATCACAAACTTGTCCCTCACATAAAGATCTCTCATTTTTTCAACAAATTGGAAACTGCCGTTTACGCTATGTTTTGCCAATTCATTATGCAGAGGCTTTAGCAGCTTCACTAGCCATTTTTATGTTGCGTCATGATATGGGGAATGACACATGTCCAACACTGGTCGAAGCGGCAAACCGATTTTATGCACTTTTGGTAGTCCATATAATCTTGGTGTTACCGTGCCAGTAGGATTTAAAGATTCATATAAACCGTCTATGATGCTACTTTGTTGTTAAAGTCTTTTTAGTGACTCAATTAGTTGTTTCTCCACTTTTTCTGTCGGATCGACGGAAGATGTAATTTTTTGAAATTTTCGATGATCACTGACTATTCCATTCATCTTATCTATGTATTCAGTTTTATTCATTATTACTACTCCAGAGCCATTATCAGGTTTCGAAATTATTATATTCTCATTATTTCGCAGCTTATCTAGGGCTTCGCTGTGTTTCTGGGTCAATAAGCTATATAGTTTCCGTTAACTATTCATATATTTATAACAACAGACCACTAGATTTGATTTAAGACTTTCAACTGCCTCAACTGACGAGGGTAATGAAAACATCCAACAAGCAACAACAACAACAACAAGCATCAGTCAGCACCGAAGAAGGAGGTTTACACGGAGTCACCTCTTTTAATTGCCTGAAAAGCTTCGTCTTGACTACAAGCAACACGCATAGGATATCAAAGCCAGAAATGCTTGGGAAAGTAAGACAGACTTTCAATTCTCTGAAATCAGTGTGGAGACCTACAGCATTCAGCAAAGAATCAAGATCCGAATATGAAATACTCATGTCAAGTCAGCGCTCCTTTATATATTTCAGAGACTTGGCGCAAGAGACACGTAAAGCATTTCCAACACACCGAAGACTCACACTAACGTCTGAAAATCAGATGGAGGGCCGTAAAGGATAAGCAGCAAGGAAATCTGGCAATTAACCAGCCAAAAGCCTGTTACTCAATCAGCGAGGATTTAGAAGGAAATGTTGATGTCCGTTGAGTGGCATCACATGCACCTCCTTTACCTACCCACCTACCTGGGAAGCATCGTTTCAACTACAGGCCGAAGGAACTGATGAGGATATCAAAGTGAGGATTGGGAAAGCAAGGCAAGCAAGCTTTCATTTCTCTCAAATCTGTGTAGAGGTCAACAGCACACTCAGCATGAAAAATGAGATCCGGATTTCCAACTCCAATGTGAAGTCAGTGCTACTTACTATACGGATCAGAGACTTGGCCAGAGCGTCACGATGGCCACTTTGAACAAACTACAGACATTCATCAACAGCTCTCTTCACTCAATACTACTCAAGATCAGATGGTTGGCCAGAAATGATCAGCAACAGGGATCGATCTCTGGCAATGAGCGAACCAACCCAGCAGGAACCAATTGTGGAACAAATATGCAGGGAGAAATGGAGGTGGAGTGACTATACTCTGAGAAAACAAGCCATCAAGTGAGTGGCATTACACGCGAGGCCATCGCTCGAGAGGAACTCGAATGGGAAGCGGCGAGATGGTTGTCAGTGAGATGGTGACATGGAGGAGGATGTGGTGCGAAGAGGAGATGAAAGCATGTGGGTAGACGTGGAGGTAAACGAAAACGTCGGCGGAGAACCGAACGCAATGGAGACGTGCAGCTGGAGCCCTATGCTCCTCTAGGAATTAAATGAGACAATAAAAATAGTAGTAGGTCCTTTTAGCATCCATTGATTTCACATCATTGTCATCACCACACCTATCAGATTCTGTCCAGTTTTGATTTTTCACTTTATTCTCTTGCAATGTTTGACGATCTGAAGTGGTAGTGTAGTGCAACTGGTAATCTTTGTCAATCAGGCAGTTGTTACACAAGCGCAGGTTATTATGACTGCTTAAGTAATTGTGCGTGTGTTTGTGTGTGTTAATTGCAGTGGCGGTTCAGTGATAGAATGCTTGGCAAACACCCATTTGATCCGGATTTGGTTCCTGGTCGACTTACTCCTTATCCTTAACTAGCTGATAGTAAGTCCAGAAAAGAGGGAAGGTTGAGTGTGAAGTTGCTAGTCCCATCCCACTAAAAACAGTAACACCTCCACTGAAGCTTGAAGCATTATATCCCACTCGGAGCGCAAAGGAATGAAAAACAGGAAACAGTATAACTAGTCATGCCTATTCAGGATATCAATTTAAGCCACATTGATTTCTAAGAGGAAACTCGTCTCTATCTTCTTTGTTTTTTGCATTTTCAGATTATCGGCTCAATAATTGTTATATTTCAACAAGTTATAATACACGGTGAATATCGTTATGATTTATTTAATAGCCGACTTCTGACGTACTTACTTCCATACTTCAATGTTAATGGTCAAGCGTCAGACGTGGAACATTTACGTGTTAGCCTGTTAGGCTTATATGCTACAATGTCGAGTAAATTTACTCTTGATGATATGGAAGACTTTTTTTCATCTTCATATGGTCAACATCCGCATGATACTAACAATGAAGAAGGCGTAACGAATCGAATTGATATCAGTGATAATTTCTCGTTAGAAGACTTATTCACACATACATTGAACGGTTTATCACAAGGTACAAGCGAGATGTGCAAACATATGGCTCTTATCCTGCTATCACGTTTGTTAGGACTGCAACAACAAAGAGCACGTTTACACACTAATGATAGTCTGTTTAATCAAGTAATATCAAATCTTACACACATCACGGGATATATTTCACGAAGAATAACGCCTGAAGTTCAAAGGAAATCTATGAGAGAAATTCGTCTATTGAATGGAAGTGAACAAACAATTTTTATACAAACTAAAAAATTACTCCAATTCGTAATAGATTGTTTCAATCAACTGATCACTGATCAAGTATTATGTCACAAATCAAGGGGTTTACTACCGGCGGAATTACGTTCGAATCATTTTGTAGAACTTTTCTTACAAGATCAAGATGTTCAAGCATGGCTTGAGACACTCTGGCGACTTTTACGTTGAAATAAAGTTGGCTATTGTACTGTCGCCTGTAGATTAATTAATATGTGTGCAAAACTAATGCCACTTTTTTTGCTTCAGTTTAATATTGGCAATAAATAAATACACCAGCTTTTTGCATGGATGCAAAAGTCTTTTATTTCAATGAGTACACAGTTAATACTCGCCTAATACAATGACTTTAATTGATTAGACGTTGGAAAGTCTTTCTGCGAGACAGGTATTTGTATGTAACATCAACCACTTATATGAAGACAGCCTGACAAATACTCCTGGTGGTAGATTTAGGCGAATAGACGTAACAGTGTAGAGATGTAATTCCATCTTCTCATTCGAAGACGCACTAACAAGTGGCTTTCTAGATATTGATGAGTTTCTTAGGTGTGTACGTTATTTCTTCACAGACATTCACAGACAGAGATTCGAAATGTCATCATTGAATATTACTGTATAACACTGTGAGACTTTGTCAAGTAAACTTTCTCCAGGTTGGAGACAAACAGAATGGCTTAATAGTGACAAGTAGCTGAGTAGAATAAGCAATCAGATCAGTTCCATGAAGCATGAATAGCAAATTAAGTAGGAGAATATGGTGTCATTTTTAGTATTCCGTTGGATCTTGTCAACCTAAGACTTTTTTAATATCAACATGAAAGTTTTCCGCATGCTTTGATTAGTACTTTAAAAGATAACAGCCAGTAGTATTAGACAAGTGAACATAAGAGGAGTTAAGAGGAAAGAATTCGAGGTGCCTGTAGACTTGTTGGTAAATGCAGAAAAGTTACAAGAGTATCCTGGAGTTAGGGACGGAAACTGCATATTATTAGTTGCGGAGGAAATAAAAACAAGTAACACATGTCACGTAGGAGTTTTAAGTTTTACTGATTCGAAACGATTAAAATAATAATAATGATAACAATAAGAGTAATAAGCTGAGTAGATATCAGGTGGAGAGTATGGAGATTGTGTTTGAGTATTCCAACTCATTGCCTTTACCGAAGGAAGAGAACAAAAGTCTTTTGCTTATGTGCATGAAGAATGTGCAGTCCAAGTCTAGAACTGTTATATATCGCCAGATCGACTCGGGTGCAATAAGCACTCCATAGTATCCTATCTTAGTGGATATCGTGAACATCGGAGTTTGAAACACGCAATAGATGAGATGACGCTTTACGAGAGGTATGTAGATGATACATTTATTATATGTAATAACATTAAAAATTGCTCTTTATCTTCTGCACCTCCTTAACAAGGCACGCAGTGGCACCTAGTTCACCATGGAATGGGAAGAAAATGAAAGTCTTAATAGTCCGGATCATGGAAATATACAAAGATATTGATTTAGTTGTATTCTCTGACCTGGTTGATTTAATTGCGAAGCTTACGTTGTCCTGCTAAGCAACATCTTCAGCGCAAGCTTCGGTATGAAATGAACTTATTTGAATTCCCCATGATTGATGATATAATTGTATCCCCTGACAACCATTGTCGTGATTGGCTGTTAATTCACGTTTCTATCGATCATTTTGATTGACTTGGAATTTGAACTTTCTTGTCATGTGGTTTACTTTTTATTAGTTGATAAATGTGGTCTACAGTAATGTGTTTTTTAATCGCTGGCTGATTCACTTGAGCACTAGGCTTCTAGAAATTCCCTAGGATTTTTGCTGTTTCCTCTATTTAAGGTTTCTCAAAAAAATTGCCAGAGGGTTCCTAGAAGCTAGTGCTCAAGTAAATCAGCCAGCGATTAACAAACACATTACTGTAGACCACATTTATCAACTAATAAAAAGTAAACCACATGACAAGAAAGTTCAAATTCCAAGTCAATCAAAATGATCGATAGAAACGTGAATTAACAGCCAATCACGACAATGGCTGTCAGGGGATACAATTATATCATCAATCATGGGGAATTCAAATAAGTTCATTTCATACTAAAATCTGCGTTGAAGATGTTGTTTAACAGGACAACGTAAGCTTCGCGATTAAATTAACCAGCTCAGAGATCACTACCAAATCGAAATCATCCAACTCAGCTACAAATCCTTTTTATTATGCAAAGATATATCCATCGTAGAGAATCCCACAGCGGATAGCACCTAAATTTCAACAACTTCGGTCCAATAAGCTTCATAAAGTTCGGGTCAGGGCATTATTCAGAGGAAAGGCTCGTTGAGAAAATCGCCACTGTCAAAAAGTATCTACGAGACAATTGGTGTCCTCAAAAATCTATTCATAAAAATAAAATTACATCAAATATGAAGATAAAACTAGATACAGTGGAGAAAAACCTAGTCTTCTTGAGAATTAGGCAGGTTTGAAGAAGCACCGAATAGAGCATAAACGCTGCTCTGAAGACTACTTTACGAGCTTCTAAACTAGACTCACTTTACAGAGCAAGTTTCCCATTGAAGCAATCCACGGTTAACAGATCTTCTTTTCATATTAGCTGCAACTGTATGTACAAATTTACATGCACGTACCAAATCACATACACTAGACGAACAGGGGAAGCTCTTGTGACCACTCATCTCAAGTCATGCGAAGAAAATTTTAGTCGAAAGGGGCAACAGTGTTCAGTGGTGAGATCTGTGGCCACTTGATAAGTAAGTCCCAGTAAGTGAAATTTTCCTCGCTTTCATCTCAGTATACTTGTGTAAAACGGAGCTAGTCAAACACGATGCGAATCTCCACAGCTAGTTGATTTTGTATTAGCTGCCTAGTGGAATGCTATAATCCTATAGTATGTTATGCTTGGCTATTTTAAAGGTATTTTATTGACTTTCTGTTAACACAGCCGGAATGCTTTTTGTAGCGTTTGCTGTACTATGCACAAAGGTACCTCGAGATACCTTTTATCCTTACCCGCTCCAACTTACTACTTATCGTGGAACTTGTACATTCAGAAAGAAACTGTTGTTAGTCTCATCCAGCCATAGTGAATACATTTAGTTTTTGATTCACTTTTGATTTCCCTGTTGATTGATTTGACCGGGACGTCCAGCCTCTGTTGACAAGTCGGCTCATTGTGCTGATGCTTCGGTGATATCTGAGAATCAACCTGAAGTCATTTGGTGAATTCCACTGCTAGTCCCCATCCCCTAAATTGCTTCACGGTGAACACATTTTATCTTAATTTAGTTTTTTAATTAGATTATTTGTACTATGTGATATATCAAATAAATTTATCTAACATGGAATTAATCATATACCGCATCAATGTGTATATTCTACTCTTATATTAGTCACATTTCATTTTTAAGGAAAAACACAGTTGGAAACATTTATTTCCCGATACGAATTTAAAACAAGCAATAAAGGTTAATAAAGCAGGATTTAATGGATTCATCAAATTTCGGTAGAACTCGTCAGCTGAATACTCTACATACACGGATATATACTTTTGAAGTTACATTGGGAGATATAGGACTGAATACTTTACATACACGGATAAATATACTTTTGAAATTACATTGCGAGATATAGGACTGATAAGTAAATAATGAATGATGGCACAATCGAAAGATCCATATATAGAAAGTACTCATGGACAGGACAGTACATGCATTTCAAGAGTTTTGTTCCAATCCAGTACAAAAAGAACTTAGTCAGAACACTGTTCAATAGAGCACGAAAAATTTGTTCTGACAGTACTGTTGAGTATGAAATAAAATCTCTGAAGGATATTTTATCTAAGAATGGATATCCTGAGAAGTTCATTAATAAATACTCTAAAGAAATTAGCCCCCTGCAAAACTATCCAAACAGTTCCGAAGAAATCTGTCTACATCAGTTTGCCATTCAAAGGAGATGATGTACAGGAAGTAGTCAAACGAAGACTCGATAAAGCCATCCAGAGAACTTATTGTGCTGCAAAACTTGTTTTCCTTAACACCACTAAGCGAGTGCTTCAACAATCTGGGAAAGACCAGTCGCCAATCCTCGACACTTCAAACTGCGTATATCAATTTGAGTGTGTTTGTGAAAGCAAATACATAGGTCGTACGGAAAGGAGATTGTCTACTCGCATGATGGAGCATTTGCCGAAATGGTTGAAAACAGCTGAGTGCAAAGTGCTAAAATCCTCAATAACAAAACATCTTGTGGATTACGGACATGATATCGACGCGGTCAAGTCATTCACTATTGTCAGCAGACAAAGAAACAAGAAGATGCTTGCAATTGCAGAGGCTTGTGCAATTCGAGTTTACAAGCCAGGTCTCTGTGTACAAAAGGAGATGGTCGTGACTCTGAATCTACCATGGTAATACGTTTTACTTATAATTCTACCTCTTATTATTATTTTATTATTACTATTATTATTCTCATTATTACTATTCTTGATTCATTTAAAACTATCCTTTATCAGTAGCATTATCTTAACTCACTTCAACACTATTATTATTATTGTTATTATAACTATTACTATTGACATCCCTCTGGTTGCAATTCTTGTTAAATTGTTTATTTAAGTGATGTATTTGAAGCGTAATGCAATTTATCTTAATTTTGATCTCCCATACTCTCTCTCCCCTTATCTAATTGAACATGACCTGGAAAAACATTCGCACCTGTCTTTCTGCATGACTAATTCAATGTAGTTTATTTACTTATCAGTCCTATATCTCGCAATGTAATTTCAAAAGTATATATATCCGTGTATGTAAAGTATTCAGTCCTATATCTCCCAATGTAACTTCAAAAGTATATATCTGTGCATGTAGAGTATTCAGCTGACGAGTTCTACCGAAATTTGATGAATCCATTAAATCCTGCTTTATTAACCTTTATTGCTTGTTTTAAAAACACAGTTTTTGTTCAGCCAAGAAGTATTTCTTTCCAACGACTTCATTTTCAAGCTGTACATCCGTATTTATATTACGGAAATAGGCATTAAGTGGCACTAGAAATCGCTCAGTCAATTTGCATATGACAAGATTAAAGATAAATAAAATGATGTATTAGGGGGGAGGGTGAATTTGAAGTGGAACAAATAAAAA